CTCTCTCTCTCTCTCTCTCTCTCTCTCTCTCTCTCTCTCTTTCCTTCTTTCACCAAGAATAGAAGGAAGAGTACCTGTCTAATGGCTCCCACCATTGGTGGTTAAGGATCACTCCAGAGGACACCTTGTACTTCCAGGTTTGTGCACATGTCGGAATGGGTGAACAAGCCTCCAGCACCTCCTCATGCAGTGGTGTTAGTGAAGCCATGTGGCATAAAGTGAGACTGACAGTGTGCAGTTCTGACAAGGTGCTGTCAGTCTACATTTGCCCAGAGCAGGCTACCAAAGTAAGAAGGTGGATGAGAGGATGTTTGATAAATACAGAAAATATATGACATAGCCTAGTCTTTGCCTTGCACCAATTTGTTTACACTCTACATTTCCCAAAGAGAGGGAGGCTATGTTCAGAAGCTCTGCATCTCAGCTATTCTTCCTTTGGGTCAAAAGAGAAAGGCTTCTGTGCATGGTAGTTTATACAAGCAGAATCGCGTGAAGATCTCTAGCCACACACAAAAGAAATAGTTCAGAATTTCTATTTGGACAGAACTGAAACATCTTCTTGGTTTAGGCTTCCCCAGGAACACACTCTGAGATAAGGATTCCGCTGCACATAATTTATTTTAGATGTGATTATAGAACACGCCCATAGAGAATGAGTGCATGAGATAAAAACAGGATGCCAGTAGAGAATACTTTATCAAGCTATTTCTCCTGGGAACAACCAGAAGATTATTCCATTAGGGAACTCAGGGAAAGTATAAAGTATACCACAGATTTATCTTCAAAAATGGGTTAAAAAGTTGGAACAGTAATCCGACTCTCTTTCTGACATTGGTTGATGGCTACTGCTAAGAACTCTCCAGCAGTTCTAAGTTGCCCTTTGTGTGGAGCTCATGGCTGGGATAAAGACCCTTCAGGCAGAGAGTCTTGAGCATTAGCAATAAGCCACCTTCAACATGTAGAAGCAAATGTGGAGTTGAATGCAGAGAACATAAACAAATACAGACATCTGCTATAGAAACTAGCCAATGTGTGTAAGTCATGGATTGGAAGGGGCAGGGTCTCTCTATGTAGTGCATGAACTCATGGCGATTCTCCTGCCTCAACCTCGCAAGTGCTGGGATTACAGGTAATTACAGAGCTTCCCCTGGGACCTCTGACATTACTTCTGCACCACCACGTCGAGGAACTTTTCCAGTATGGACTCAGCACATAGAAATACACATCAATGAGCAAAACAATCAAGATATACATTTTGATTTCATGATAAATTCAATGAATTTTGTTATAGCAAAGAAACAGACAAATCCCTCGAGTGTTTGAAGTAAACTGTTTAAATCAAAATTATCTCCTTTTATTAATTTTTTTACTACAACATATAATTGGTAAGCTGGGATCCGAAAGTACAAATTACTAACTAAATCATTGACAGGAGGAACATTTTTAGCTCTATGTGTGATTTTTTTCTTTCACTTCGTTCATCAGATTTATATTAATGGCTGCTCTTAGGTTTGCCCAAAAAAGTCCATGCTTGCTCTTCTCTGTGGGCCATTTCAAATATGTCCTCCGCGCCATGAGGGTTTTGAGCTTGTGGTAGTTGTTAGGAATGGCGTACTGTGGGATGGGTGCCAGTAAGATCAGGATTAAGTTATCAAAAGCTGCATGGAAAAGATTGTGGTGGGCAAAGTAGAGTTCATAATGGCACCACTCGCTCTGGATAAAGTTGGGAGACAAAACAAAGATGGACTTGTAGCTCTTCTCAATGCAACTGATGATATTTTCCACGATGCTCTTGCCAGGAACAAAGTTCCTCTCATGGAGGCAGATCTGTAAGTTTTCTTTCTCAAGGTTTGGTAGTAATTCATTCTTCACCCAGGCAGAATCATGCCCACTGTAGGAGATAAAAGCATGAAACTGAAGATTTCTTTGGAGTTCCTCTAAGGGGATGTTCCTGGTCCTGCGCAGGGTCTGGGTCCACTGACACATCATCCTGAGATACCAGGGCAGATCAAAGTAGAGGCAGAGGAAGGTGACAGTAGCAGCCAACACCAGCATGGAGGTCACTATGGTCACGATAAGCAGAGTTGTGTTGCAGGATAGTGGAGACACATGGAAGTCCTTTAGCAGGATTCCCTTATAAGGGTCTGGATAGTGACACTTGTAAGTTTCAGGCCAGTCCCACACTATGTCACTTGACAGTTGGCCAGTATTTTTGATGAATTCTCTTAACTCACATGTGCAATGGAATGGGTTGTTCCCTGCTTTCATTGACCTAATCTTCTGGCAGCTTTGGAAAAAATCAGTTGATGGGTGGGAAACTAAATTATGGTCAATGATCAGTGCAGAAAGGCTACTGAAGGCACCACATCCAGGAAGGTCAGTTAAAGAATTGAAAGCAACATTGAGTTCTTGCAAAGACTCCAGATAGGTGACATCCTCAGGGATGTTCATTATCCTATTGCTGTGAAGATCAAGTACCTCGACCTTGGGAGGTAAACATCTGAATACAGACTCAGTAAGTATATTTGAAGACATATTTAAACTTAATAAACTTTCAGCCCAAGAGCAAGTATTTTCATCTTCATCATACCTTAGAGAATTCTGGCTAATATCCAGTTGTTGTAGAGACTTCATTTCCTTGGTCATCAGAATTACATTTGCAAGTTCTTTTAATTGATTCATTTTTAAACTAAGTGTTTTTAATGCAACTAAGGTTTTACAGTTTTTAAAAATTGTATCTGTTAAGAGATTATTGGAAAAATCCAAATATAAAAATGGGCTAATTTGGGATGGGCAAAGTATGTGGATCATACGTGTACCAGACAATGTGAGATTTTGGATTTTCATATTTGAAAAGATCCTGTAGATATTACTTTGTGGAAAATTGAACACATCACTGACAACTTGCTTTATAGACAATGCCTTCAGGGAAGTAGCAGAAGAACCAAAATTTCTGATGCCCAGTTGACCTTGTAGTTTCACATTTGAAATTGAAAAATACTCCATGTTTGTATGCCAAGCAATCTGCATGATACTCATCAAAGTATTCCAAGTTGTTTCAATGTTATTTAAGGTAAGATTTGGTAGCCTTGGTTTCTTTTGAAGTTCTGACAAAACATCTAGGAAACGACACTCATTGTCGTGTAGCACACACTTGATATTAGATAGCTCCACATTTACTGCAGTACTGACTGACACATTCAGAATGAAATGGAATTCCTTTTTTGTGGGGAAAACAACATGCAGACTCCTTGTATGAAGATCTTGAAGACTATCAGGCTCTTCTTTTTCCCCATAAGTGTCTCCTAAAACAAGCAAAACTTTACTGATATTCAAATGAGCAATTGGCTGCATGCTAGATTTTTGTAACTGTGTTGCACTCAGTCCTAGAAATTTTAGTTGAGAGAGGTTGCCAAACTCCTTGCATATGGGAAGGGCATCAAATGCATTAAAGGAGAGGTCTAAATGCTTGAAGTTCACCGTAGGGTAGCAAGAAATTGTCCTCAATTCATTATGGGACAAGTCCAAGAATTCCAATTGCTGGTTGAATTTGAAAACACTGATATCAAGATACTGGATTCTATTGTGAGACAGTATCAAAATCCTCAGCTTTGATAGTGGTAGCATGTCAGAAGACTGAATCTCAGATATGTAGTTTTGGGATAGATCTAAGGTTGTTGTTTTCAAGGATAGATCCTTGGGAACATGGGTGAGACCTGTTTGGGACCTGTCAACTAAAAATTCACTTTCATCAGATATTTGGGTTTTGATCTCACGCATTAATATGAAGATGATAACAAAGTGGAAGGTTCGCAATTTAATTTGAGCCATTTTGTGGCAACAGACATTCTTGAGGTAGTCAGACCATCTGGACATATATACAGATCCTATGGAGGAAAAAAGTCCACATTAAATGATTATTTTAAATTAGGCATGACTGACAACATTTTCGTTAGAGACTCATAAAATGAAGGCTACATTCTTTCAGGTTATACAAACTGAAACCAGGAAAATATATGATCTATAAGCTCTAATCAAGCAAGTTGATTAGGTATAGTGGTTGTAGGGTGGTTCCCTCCAAAATATATGTCTACCGCCTAACAGGTTTTAGTTCATCAAAACTGAAGGTTATCTTATTTAGAAAAAGGGTCTTAAGGTTCTTGGGGTGGGGATATGATCCTGTATCATCCAGGTGGACCCAAAGCCCAATGATAAGTGTACCTACAAGAAAAAGGCAGAGGAATATTTGACAGAGGCAGCAGAGGAAGTGTTGGCGACGCCTACGTAAAGACAGAGGCAGTGATTTGAGTGACTTGACCGCAGCCAAGGAATGCAAATAGCCACCAGGTGTTGGAGGAGGCTCTAGAGAGACCACAGCCTTGTGGACACCTTGATTTTGTACTCTTGGCCTCCAGGACAATGAAGGAATCAATTTCTATTGTTTTAAACCAGCAAGCTTATGAGAAATTTGTTACAGCAACACAGGGATCTAACACAGATGGTTCATGGAAATTCCTCTGACTTCAACTCTCCCAAGCTCATTTAGAACTCAGGCTAAGGTTCACCCAGCACCCTTTCAGTCTCTGAATGAAGGTCATGATTCCTGTGACTCTCTTGGGAGTTCTTTCATGTGGCTGAAGTAGTACTGTTCTTGATTACATTTTATTATCTACACAGGTGTTAGTCCTAATGTCATGACAAAATATTTTTAGAGGATCTATTCATTTATCTATTTATTATTTTGCTACTATTTATTGACCATCTAGTGGCCATGTTTTAGGAACCAAAGGCGGAGCAGTGGAGAAAACAAAGTCCTATTTCTGAGAGAGCTAATTAAATTATATAAACTTAATTCCATGTGGTGATAAGTGCTGTGCAGACAAATAAAACAGGGTAATCGTAGGCAGGACATAGTGCTCGGTGTAAGTATGAGATGGTGTTATTTTTTATTGATCCATAGGAGAAGTAGAAATCAAAAAGGAGAAATTTTTGAGAAGTACTTTTCGAGACGTAGAAATCAAAACAGAGAAATCAAAAGGGAGGGAATGAGTCTCCCCCATCCAGATCCATGGGATGAGAAATTCTGGCAATGGAAAAGCCATATACAAAGGCCATGAGGTGGAATTGAGGTTGGTTTATCTTAGGAACAGCAAAGAGGGCAAGCAAAGAGCGAGTACAGGGCAAGAAAAGATGAGAAGACAACAAATCTCCACAGGACCTTGTAGCACACTGCAAGGAGTTGGGGTTCTATGCCAAGAGTGATGAGGTGCTGAGGAGCACTGGGGAACTCGGGGGATGGAAGCTGTTTCCTCCTCTCTTATTCAGAAAACTTTTTTCATTTGCTCATCAAATGCATACTTTCCCCTGAGAAATGCTAGATATTGTCTAGGTTTTGCCTGTTGATTACTTATCAACCAGTGCTAGCTCATATACTATTTTATTATTGGCAATCCACTGGCACATGAGACTAGGGGGTGTTGTGTTAGGATGAACCCTACAAGCTGATACTCTGCTCAACCACAGGCAGCCTTTCTGCTGGGGTTGTACCGCTGCATAGCTCCCTCAGGGAATTTATTCAAAATCCCCTTGAACAGCATTAGACAAATAAACCACCAGACCTGGCCAAGTGCCCAATTCCTCTTTGCATGTGTTCTTTTCTGTATCTCAACTGCACAGATGGACCTAAATAATTCAGTTCCCCAGAAATAAACCCATTCAGTTCCCCAAGTCAGACATGCAAACGTGTCTGGTTTTCAGAGCTTGCCTTTACCCTTCTGCAGGGGTATCCAGTAATATCCTGATTATGCTGATTTCTTCTAACATCAGAAATGAACTCGTTTCCCCACCCACCACCACTACCACCAGACTGCATCCACAAAGATTCTGAACAAGGAAGATGATAGCAACATCAAAGTTCATGTTCAAAGTAAAGATGGTCTTTTGATGGCATTGATTGTTTTTGATGGAAAGACCCAGACATTTCTCAATTATCCCTGTCCAGCTTCCTGAAAGAGCTATTCACACAAGGTCTAATACTTAAATGGGTGCTATGGACTGAATATTTTTGCTCCCTAAAAGTCATATGCTGAAATTCCAACTCCTAATGCAATGGAGTTAGGAGATGAAAGCCTTTGGGAAATAATTATACCAGGGGATGGAGGTCTCATGAATGGGATTAGTACCCTTCCACGGGGGACCTCAGAGCTCTCTGGCTCTCTTTCTTCAATGTGAGGGTCTGAGAAGCTGCTCATCAATGTTCAGAAGAAGGCCCTACAGTTCAGAAGAAGGCCCTCACCAGAGTGGCACTCTGATCTTGGACTTCCAGCCCTCAGAAGGGTGAAGGCGAATTTCTGCTGTTAATAAGCCACCCAGTCCATGGTCCTTGTAGTGGCTGCCCAGAGTGGTGGAGACAATGAGAATAAAAATGACACCCAATCCCTGCAAGGAAGGCCAGCCGAGTGTTTAATATCTCAGAACACAGCCACAAGTCACAAGCTGGATTGGGTTAAAAGGGCTGGGCTTAAAGTCTCAGAAGGATTTCCTGCTTGTTCCCACACCAGAGTCCAAATCATGGGTTCTCTCTACCTCTGGCAAACTCCAGAATTCAAGGAAGCAGTGATCAAAGTTGCCAGGTATGGTATATATAGACAGTGTCTCCAGAGATTAGAGCCACACAGGACCCCACTATGGACGCAGTGCTTAGTGCAGTAAGAGCTCAGCACAAGCAAGACAAAAGCTGTCTTTGTCCTTTTGACAACAGCACCACTATGAAAGATCAAAATGGATGAAACTATCCATCCTTAAGCACTGGATGAAAGCACAGCTTCAGTTTTATATTTGACTAAGTTAATTGTCTCAAATATCTTTGTATCTAGCTGAATTAATTCACTCAAATGCCCAACTCCCATTCTGTCCTTCCAATTCAAGTCACTAATTTAAAGTTCTCGGTTTGTGAAACCATTTTTTTATTTCTATAATGGATATCAAGCTATTATATGCACAAAGAAGCAGTGTTTAGATATTTATAGATTCTATAAATTTTAGATACCAAAATTACTAAAATCAGTTAAAATCAATGCCTCAATTTCTCAGAACATTTCTTTTTTATTATGTTTTTGGGGTTTCTTTCTTTCTTTTTTTTTTTTTTTAAGACAGGGTCTTGCTACACAGTTCAGGCTGGCCTTGAACTTACAACGATCCTCCTACCTCAGCCTCCTGAGCATGGAGATTAAGGCATGCACCATCATGTCAGGCCACAAAATATTTCTTACTCAAAATCTTAATGACAGCCACTGACCCTCATCTGTTAGAACCTCAAAACTGTTTTACTACAAATAAATGATTATTGACTAAGTCAAACAGAAAAGGATACTTTAATTTAAATGCTTTTATGCAAGCATTTAAAAGCATAAATCACCCTTCCATTTCAGGTGTACCTCTGTCAGTTTTTGTGATTATGATAATATTAGTTTTATGTGTTACAATGACTTCCTTTTTCTTTTTTTTCAGAACAGGGATTCGAACTCAGGACTTCACGCTTGCCAGGCATGTGCTTATGCTGCTGAGCTATATCCCCGGCCCCTATGTGTTACAATGAAACTATACATTTGCCTTTGTTTAGAGACTTGGGGCATCAAATCGGGTTTGACTAACCTTGATGAATCATACTCATCCAGTCCATCTGGGCCTCCTACCCATCTTGAGTCTTCTCTAGGCTGGACCAACTAGCTATTAACAACAGATTGAAAGGATTGGAACCAGTTCAAAAGCTTTTCTCTTTGGTTTCCTATGTGATTTTGTGAACTTTTGCTTTTTGTTGTACATATATGTTCACTTTTAAGACTTTGACCAAGCTGGATGTGGCCTGGAAATCATTTTCAAAGCCTATAATTCCACCTGACTTCCAGCTCACCAGAATAGTCTCAGTGGGCCAAGAAAGCAGAAGAGAATCCCAAGTGGAGCCACCCTGAGCAGAAATTAAAATAAACCTGTCCATGAAAACCGGAGTCGAAACACCACGCTGCCTCTGGAAAGGATGACTTTCAGCCACATTTTTGTATTATTCTAATGAAATACCAGCAGCAGCCTACTTGCTAGAGAGAAGAGATTTCTTTTGGCGCACAGTTCTGGTCCAGGGTGGGAGCTGCACCTGTGGTGGCCTTCTTGCTGCCGGTTTCCAACACAGCCCAGGACACGGCATAGCAAGAGACAGGGAGCACAAGTGTGTTTCTCCTGCCTCTAGCCTTCTTCAAAAACCTCTTGAATTCAGTCATGGGGCTCCACCCTCATGAACATGTCTCTATAGCACTCATCGTCTCCCGAGGGCCCCACCTCCAAACACCATAGTCAGACTGACGGTCACCTTCTTACTACATGAAAATAGAGAGAACATTCCAATACATGAACACTTGCAGGACGTTAAACTAAGTCCACACAAATGCATGTCACTTTTCATTGCAACGATTATGGATGCAGAGGAGATGAGGTAAAGAGTGATGTCTATGAAAATCAACAAAGAACGAGCTGTTGTAAAGTCTGTGACTCAAATATTCATCTCATTCAAAAATATCTCTTGCAGCACACCCATGCTTATAGCAGCATAGTTGGTAATAGCTAAATCTTGGAAACAACCCAAATGCCCGTCAAGTGAGGAATAGTTTTTAAAACCATGATTTTTTTTTATATTGTGGAGTATTACTTCACCATAAAGAAGGATAAATTTAAAATAAAAAAGAAGGATAAATTTCAGACATTTCTAGGTAAATTGATGCACCTTAAGGCCATATCCTTGAGTGGAATAAATCGGACACACATGTGTAAATACCACATTGTTTCTCCAGTGTAAGAAACCAAAAGTGTAAATAAGGATCTATTGTGAAATAAGAAATTGTTCAAAAGAAAGCGGAACTAGGGAGGGGGCAATAGGAAAGGAAAGAAAGGAAAAGAAAAAAATAATAAAAGTGATAAAATGGAAACAAAACTTTATAAATAAGGAGGGGAAGAGGGATTGAATGGAGGAGAGGCGGTTGGGAAAAGAGAGAAATCAAAATACATCATGTATAGGTACAAATTCCCTATGGTGAATATGATCGTTATGCATATCTAAATTGTACCAAAAACTTAATTCAAAGATATCATTTGATAGAAAATCATGCAGAGGTGTCATTCATTCAAGAGGGGAAAACAAGTCTCTAGAACTGATAAATTCTAGTTCACTCCCCACACACAGTAAGTGCATGTCTGAAATGTAATAGCCAGGACTTAGTCATAGAGGCAGCTGTGAGCTTTGTCCCCATAACTAGCTATACCATTATTTGCTTTTATAGAATAAAATAAGATGTGGCTTACCAAGACATCCTGCCTGTCCCTTCTGTTTGGCAGTCTGAAAGAAACTCAAGCACTTCCTTGAACATGTATTTCACTGGTAACCGCTCTTGGTGTTGAAAAAATAGCTCCTATCTGCCATCTACTGAATCTCACTGGAATTACACATCATCTCTTGAAGTTTCTGTCTTCCATGACACTTGGTTCCCTGCTCTCCACACTACTGAACTGAAGGAAGTGCTGTCAGTAATTCATAGATATTATTGGTTGAATTCAAAATACTAACCAAAGTGGCTGTTCCGCCAGAGGTGGGAATGTGGACTTGGGTTTTTTTCCCTTTAATTTTTAAGTTCACTTCCGTAAGCTGTGGAGTTGTTTTTGATTGATAACGTTCCCTTTCTCTCTTCCCCCACCTCAGAATTTACTTAATGAGAAAAATGTATCTATAAATACGTTTCTGAAACTGAAAGAATGAATTCCACACCCACTTGTGTACATTCCTTCCCTTAATCCCCTGCCTGGAGACGAGGGCAGTTTGGGCAGAGTTTGGTTCCGGCTTCCCTGATGCTGAGAGGCGAGGTCTGGAGCGATGTCCAGCAGAGGGAGCGAGCGAGGCGGCGGGAGAAGCGCTTCAATGCTCTGTCTCCCGGTTGCCCTCAGCTCAGACTCATCTCCTCCGCCCTGAGCTGCCCACCGGTCTGTTTTCTTCCCAGCTGTTGTCCAGGGGGTAACCCTCGAGCAAACACATGCTTGTGATTATTCATCCGCATGGATCAATATGGCCGCAGCCCCCAAGGGAAACTAATCCCCAGAGAATACGGCTTCTTTTTTAAATGTTTTAATATTTTATTTAACCTAATATATCAAAAATATTACTACAACATGCAATCAACACAAAACATGATTAATCTCCAGTAACCCCCCCTTCTGACACACAAAATATATAATTTAATAACTTTAGGTATTATTTCCACAGTTGTGTAACCATTACTACAACTAGGTTAGAACATTTCATTTCTTAAAAGAATCACTAAGTCCCTTAGCACTGCCACTCCTCCATATGCTCCTGCCCTAGGCAACCGTTAGTCCACTCTATAGATTTGTGTATTCTGGATGTTTCATATAATTTGAATCAAGTAATACGTAGCTTTTTGTGACTGGGTTCTTTCACTTATAATGTTTTACTGGTTAATCCATGTTGCAGTATGTATATTTCATTTTTGTATAGTTGCTAAATAACTTTCAGTTGTATGGTTACACCATTTTATTCACCCATTTATTAGCTGATGGACATTAGAGTTTATGAGTCATGCTGTTATAATCATTCATGTGAAAGTTTTTATGTAGATATATTTTTTCTGGGTGTATATGTAGCAGTAGAATTGTTGCATAATTTGGTAATTTTGCATTTCTCCTTTTGATGAACTACCAGACTCCTTGATAGCAGTGACATAATTTTACATTTGCGCATATGGTTCTAATTTCTCCACATCTATGTTAATGCTTTTATTATCTGACTTTTATAACCATCCTACCAGGTATGAAGTTGTGTCTCACTGTTGTGTTAATTTGCATTTCCTTGATCAATAATGATGTTGAGGGGCTGGGGATTTAGCTCAGCGGCAAAGTGCCTGCCTGGCAAGCGCAAGGTCGTGAGTTGGGTTCCCAGTACCCCCCACCCCCCAAAAAAATGTTGAGCATGTTTTCTTACGTTTTGGATATGTCTACATATTTTGGGGGATTGTCTTTTTAAATTTTTTTGGTCTTTTAAATAATTGAGTTGTAAGAGAATATACTCTAAGAATAATACAAATTCCTTATCAGATATAGGAATTACGGTTTTTTTTTTTTTTCATTTTGGAGATAGTCTTTTCCCTCTCTTTTTTGGGGGAAGTACCGGGAATCAAACTTGCTAGGCAGGTGCTTGTGCCGCTGAGCTATATCCCCAGCCCCCATTTTCCTTTCTCTTGATGGTATCTTTAGAAGCACAAAGTTTTCATTTTGATGGTGTGCAACTTATTTCTTTCCTTTGTTGTTTGTACTTTCTGTATCAAATCTAAGAAACCATTGTCCAATCCAATGCCACAAATATTGACACCTATGTTTTATTTTGGCCACTTATTTTAGTTCTTTTAGGTCATTGATCCTTTTGTTTATTTGTTTGTTTCATGATGCTAAGGCTCAAGCCCAAGACCTCCTGCATACTTGACAAGTGCTTTACCACTGAGCTACCCCCAATCCTTAGGTCTCCTATCCACTCTTAATTAATTTTTGTATATAATGTGAGGTAGGGATCAACTTTAGTTTTGAAGGTAGATGTTCAGTTGTCTCAGCACCACTGTTGAAAAGACTCTTCTTTCTCCAATGAATGATTTTGGTACCCTTGTTGAAAGCCAATTGACCATAGGTGTATGGGTCTTAAATCGTATTCTATTGATTGATTGATTTATCTGTTCTTATTCTATGCTGTTCTATACTATCTTGATTACTATAGCTTTGTAGTAAGTTTTGAAATCAAGAAGTATATAAGTCCTCTAGCTTTGTTCTTTTTTTTTTTTTGGTTTTTCTCCGGTACCGGGAACCGAACTCACGACCTTGCGCTTGCCAGGCAGGCACTTTTGCCGCTGAGCTAAATCCCCAGCCCCTAGCTTTGTTCTCTTTCAAGATTGTTTTGGTTATTTGGGTCCATCCATTTACACAGAAATTTCAAGATTGTTTTGTCAATTTTTGCAAAGAAGCCAGCTGGTATTTTGACAGATGTTGTGTTTCTGAGTCACTTTGGGGTGTATTGCCATCTTAATAACATTATATTCAATCCATGGGTATGGGATGTCTTTCACTGATTTGGGTCTTCTTTAACTTCTTTCAGTAAACTTCTGCAGTTTTCAGTATACAATCTTGTATTTTAAAAAAATTATTAATAAGTATTTCTTAGTGATATTGCAAACAATTCTAAAGTTTCAAAAAAATTTATTTCTAGGTGACCCGCTCAGACCCCTTTTGTGTCTCTCAGACAGAAGCTTTCTTTCCCCAATAAATATATTCTGCTCTAAAAAATCAAAATAAGTAAATAAATTTTATTTCTAAATTTTTTTGTTCATTGCTGCAGCATAGAAATATTCATTTTTATATTGATTGTATATCTTACAACTTTCTGTTATAATAGTTTTTAGTGGTGCTATGGACTAAAATATGTGCCCCACAAATTCATATGCCTAACCTCTAATGGGACAGTACTAAGAAGCTAAGTCTTTAAGAAGTGATTAGCTCAGGAAGGTGGGGCCCTTGTTAATGGAATTAGAGCCATCATCCCAGAGAGCACTTGAGTCCCTTTCTGGCATGTGAGGGTTCAAGAAGACAGCAGTCTGTGACTGGGAAGAGAGCCTTCACCAGATGCTAACTGTGCTGGCTCTCTGACCTCAGACTTCTGGCCTCCAGAATTGTGAGAAATGAATTCCTATTCTTTATAAGCCACCCAGTGTAAGACAGTACAGTAGGGCAGCCCAAACTAACTAAAAGGAGTAGATTTCTGTGCATTTTGCATTAACAAGGTCATACCACCTACAAATAGAGGCAGTTTTACTTCTTCTTTTCTTACATGGATTCCTAATTACCTAATTTCCCTACCTTGTACCTCTAGTACAATGTTGAATAGAAGTAGTGTGAGCAGACATCCTTGTCTTGTTCCTGATGTTAGGAGGAAAGTTTAAGTGCTTAACAATTAAATATGATGCTAGCTGTGAGTTCTCCATAGACACGTTTTACTGGGTTGAGAAAGTTCCATTTTATTCCTAGTTTGTTGAATATTTTTATTCTAAAGTTGTGGGCAGTATAATTTCTTAATCAAAAGCACAATATCATAGTTTATGAGGTTCTTATAACAGTAGGGCTAATACTTCCACAATATGCAGAGCAATGGTGTTTCTTTCTTTCTGTGTTAGTCAGTTTTCCATCACTATAGCGAAATACTTGAGGTAGGTAACCTATGAAGACAAAAGCTGTACTTTGACTCAGTTTTGGAGATTCTGGTCCAAATCAGGCAGATCTATTGTTTTGGAGTTCTAGTTAATTGCTGGGTGGCAATACTGGAGAATAAGATGTGGATCAAAACTCCTCACTTTATGATCAAGGAACCAAAAGAGAGAAAAAAGAGGCCTGGGTCGTAGGATGCCCTTCAAGAGCACATTCCCAATGACTTAAGGGAACTCCCACGAGGCTCCACCTCCTAAAGATCTGCAGCATCTCCCAGGAGTCCCATCCTAAGGAACAAGCCTTTAACATATTGGAAGACACTGCCATATTCAAAGCGTAGCACCTTTCTTTCCTCCTTACTTTCTCTCATGCAACCTCACAATTCCTCTCACTCACCAGACTGGAGAACTCTAAATTGTGTCCTGTGACATTTGCCAGGAACAGAAATGATGTCACTTGGACATTTACCTTTTTATGAATTCTCCCTCAACTACTTGGATTTTCCTGCCAAATTTTGACCCTAAAGTGTCAATATCTGGACAAATCTCAAGTCAGCATAAGCATTTCCAGCTATTTGCCTGGGGCTAGGGTGCTCTTTCAGATTCACAAAATGTTAATAAGCACCTGTATTTAGAATCCTGGTTCCTAGACTTATCCAAATTACCAAAGTTCACCAAAGAAGATACAAAAACACTGAACAACCCAAGAAGAAGCAATGAAATTGAGACTGTAGTAAAGAATCTACCAATTTAAAACACCCAGGACTTGATGGATTCACTGCTGAGTTCTACAAAATCTTTAAGAGTGTTATTCACCTATACTCATCAAGCTCTTCAAAGAAATTGAAAGGGATAGAGTGTTCCAAATTCACTTATGGAAGCCAGCACCACTCTGATTCCAAAACAGGATAAAAATACAACTAAAAAAGAAAATTACAGGCCAGTCTCCTTAAAGAATATAGATGCAAAAATCCCCAACAAGATATTAGCTAATAGAATGTAGCTCATTATCCAAAAGGTCATACAATATGATAAAGTAGCTTGCATCTCTGAGATGCAAGGATGGTTCAATCTATGCAAATCAATAAATGTAATATCACATAGATACAGAAGCAAAG